GAGAGCGGGCGTCTAATCCAAAGGACCGGACGAGCAGGGGGGAGAGCGGGCGTCTAATCCAAAGGACCGGACCAGCCCTCTGCAGCCTGAGCTGTCGCGTCTGCCACCGCGTGAGCTGCGGCGGACTCGCTGGCCCGCGTGCCGATGTCCTGCTCGGCTGTAGCTTTAGGGTAGCTGACTGCGTACGTCTTTGATTTCCTTCCTCAAATTCAAACTGAGGAACAAGGACCAAACCCCTTCCTCGCTTAGGTGTTGTGAGCTGGTGGTTATCATTCCTATACATAATTTTGACTTGCCCCAGACATTCTTTCCTACTACTTTGTTAAGCGGCACTGCTGTTCCTGACTGTGGAAATATGTTTGTCTTCTTACATACTTTTAATTTAAAGCTATTTAAGAGAACTGAAGTTCTGATTGTTGTATATATTTTTCTAAAAGCCAAATAAAGGTACCTATGAAAATAATTGGGCCTCTGCTTTTATTTAAGCTTTATGCCCTTTCAGTGTTACAGTCAAATGAATTTTGTCTTCCAACATGTCCAGAAAGGGCTGGCAATGATTTTCCCCCTATTTTTTCAACAGAAAACTTGGGATTGTGAAGGTTAATTGTACAAGTTCTGCTGTATTACCAAATGTTCGTTAAAGCCACTACAAGAGTGAGGGGGAACAAACATTTTCAAGTTTATATACTCCAGTTTTCACTATTCAGAAATCTCTGGCTAACTTGGTTATGAATAGCACTGCTTAGTTGCTCCTCAAAAGTAGTTGATCTTTTACTCAAGGGAACAGTTCACAAAATATAAATATTAAAAGGAGTATGAATGCCACTTCTAAAAACACCACTTTCAATTTCTGGGTTTTTTATTTAAAACTTTTCTGTTTGAAGTTTCCCTAGCTTCCCTAACTTCTCAGCCTGTCTCCCAGGATCGGCCGCTTTCCGGTCTGTGTTTCCAGAATACCTGTGTGCACACTGCCACATGAATGTTCATATCACTACATTTTTAAACAAGAATACAGCACAAAGGACTGAGTTCAATCCCCGGTTCCACCAAAAACAAAAACAAAAAAAAAAAAAAACGAGAATACACCGTAAGGACATCTGAGTCTTACGTTGTTACTGAACTGTCTTCCTATATTCTGGTTGATAGCTGTATTTCACTTAAGTAGTTCCCAGTGAGGAGTAATTCTTTCTAGACTTCAGTTACTTCCAATAATAAAGTTTGTAATAAATTATTAAAAATAAAGGCAAAAAGATAGGAGCATATATTATCTTTAAAAAATTTTAAAAGTAAAGAAAAAAAAGGAGCACTGTTCTGTTTTCCACTTCACACACTTCCGCTGTTGCTACATAAAGATGCCCGTTTTCTCACACTGGGCTCACCTAGTCAGACCTGGCCCCTTGCTAAAGTAATTTCCAGAAAAGTGTTTTCCCCGGAGTTCAGATTTGCATTTCCTTCCATTTTTTTTTAATGTTAGCAATTTACATTCTATGCTTATTTTTCAAAGAGTGCTAGCACTTAGAAAATACTTTTTTTCTAATTTTTTAATCATTTATTCATTTGGTACAGAGTCTTGCTAGGCAGCTCAGATGCTAGTGATCCTCCTGTCTCAGCGCCCCCATCACTGGACTACGGGCATGCACCAACACGCCCGGTTTCAGGAGCAGCATGGGGCGCCCAGGCTTTTGGGGCCAGCATGGCATGCAGGACCAGGGATCAAAGCCAGGTCCTTAAACTTGCCAGGCAGGTGCTTAGACCACCAGGCTATCGCCCCAGCCTAGAAGTAGACTTCTGTAGCTGGAGATGGCAATTGTTTTCCCCACACTCAACTTTGACCTTATTAAAATACCAGCTGTTCTTGTGATGGACCATTATTTGATCTATCAATGTCTGTTTAGCCTGTTGTCTCAGTTACTTTTTGCTTGTTGCTGGGACGAAATACCAACACCCAAAATTAAGAAAGGAAAGGTTTATTCAGCTCACAGCTCGTGGAGGCTTTAGGCTCCACTCCGCTGGCTCCCAGGCAGACAGCAGCAGTTGATAAGAGGGGGGGGGGGTCAGAACTCCTCCAAGGAAGTGGGGGTGCACGGAAACCTCCCCCGAACCCCTTCATACACCTTTTTGTGGGGAGTCACTCTGGGGCAGGCACTCCTCAACCGGGGCAGGGCCCTACAGCCCAGGGTGTGGAACCTCAGGCGACCCAGCCAAGTTGACACAATGTATCAACCACCATGTATCAACCACCACCTGAGATTATCTAGTGTTGTTCTAATTGGCCTTACTTCTTTTAACCTGAGGTCTTCAGGTAATGCATGTTCTTACAAATGGCAGGACCTCTTCTCATGCTTAGTGACAATTTGTATATTTTGTGTATACCCAGTTTCTGTCCATGGACACTTTCTGGTTAGTTGTGCATCTTGGTTACTGGGAATAATTCTGCAGTGAACACAGGAATACAGAGACCTTGGTTTTTGTACTGGGAATCGAACCCAGGACCTTGAATTTGCCAGGCAGGTGCTGTGCCACTGAACTATGTCCCAGTCAAATATAAAATAATCGTATATTTTATTTTACTTGCCAGGAATCAGAGTCGTGACCTTGTGCTTGCCAGAGAAGCGCTGCCGCTGAGCTACGTCCCTGCCAGAATACAGACATTTTTACCAGGTCAGACAATTTCTATTTCCTGTGTATAAGCCTGGAAAAGGACTTGCTGGATCCTACGGTAGCTCCTCCGTAGCGTTTTAGGAAATGCTGGTGTCCACAGTGGTGGCAACACTTTGCCTTTCCACCGGCACCGTGAGTGTCCCCTTCCCCAGCTTCCCCCACACTTGCTATTTCTTGTCATTTTCACAAGAGCTACTCTGCCTGCTGTGAGATGAGTGCTGTGGGTTAGTGTGCCTTGGCCTGACGACTGGTGATGGCCAACACCTTTCCACACACCTGGCATCGGTACTGGCATCCTCAGAGGCGGTGCCTGGCGGTGCCCTGGGGACAGGGAGGTGTGGGCGACGGAGCCCATTCCCGGTGGGAGGGCGCATCAGGGAGCCGCTGCTGGCAGGCCACCCAGCCACGGCGACAGAATGAAAGCTGAAGCCCTGGGCTGCCAGGCGGTCTCTAGGTGTCGCCTGGTGTCATTATTCGGACTGTACAGGAGAAATCAAGGTTATAATTCAAGTTGCTCAAAACACTGCTCGGATTACCCCAGACTTGGCCTGGGGAGATAGCTCAGAAGCACTTGCCTGGCAAGTGCAAGGTCCTGAGTTTGATCCCCAGTACCAAAAATAAATTAAATATCAAGATTACCCTAGACTCGGGGCCGGGGAGATGGCTCAGTAGAATAAGCGCTTCCCTGGCAAGTGCAAGGGCCTGAGTTCAATCCTGGTTCTGCCAAAAAAATAAAGATTACCCTAGACTCGTATCATGCAACTGGTTATTCTTCCCTTGACAAAAATTTCAAACTTATTTTTTAAAAGAGAGAAAATGTAGGACTCCATTGGTGTCTGGGTGTACCCCAGGGAGAAACAGCATCAGGAAGGAGGAGAAGATAGACAAGAAGACAAGAGCTGGTCAGGTGGCGGTGGTGGACCCCAGAACAACAGCAAGGGCATTTATTTTTACCTTTGCAAAGTTACAAGACACAGTGTCGCCTGGCAGCTAAAAGCCCACAATGCCAGGCAGGACGTTCTTCCCAGGACTGAGGCAGCCTGACTGCTTTGGGCAGTGAGGCCTCATCCTGCCCTCCCACGCTGGTCAGTTTCCAGCTTCAGGCTCCCAGCAGCTCCCCCTTTCCTGTTTTGTTTTGTACATGATGGCTATTCCATTGGAACTGGAGAAGCTGTGTTTGGAAAACCTGTTAGACCTTTTACTCTTGGTGCCAGTTCAGACTTTTGGGCCTTGCATTCAGCTAGGATTTTGGGTCCTCTGACACATATTGGGTTAAAAAAAATAGGAATTGATTATGTAAAGGAAAAGCATTTTAAAGGGCTTTTAGGCACAAGTGTGGGTGGCTTCTGATAGGTCAGGACTCAGAGTTCCCAGGCACCTACCCCCAAACTCTCTCCCCCTTGGCTCCACCCAGAGCCAAACCCAAAACTGAAGACCACCCAACTCTGATTTGATCACAAAGAAGACAAATGATGCTTACCTGAAACCCGGCTGTTCCAGCCCACAATCGCCCTCCTATAAAGTCTCCTGTCGCCCCACCCCCACCCCCCTGTTCAGCGCTGTCTTGGCTAGCGAAACAGCCCTCTGCGGGTGCTGTCTTGGTCCGTGGCGAGACAGCCCTCTGCATGGGCTGCCATAACCCACTTTTCCTCATGTCAGTGCGTCTGGTCCGGTACCGCGTGGGTTCGGCTACCTCGCTTTTCCAATCTTTCAGCCCCCAGGTGTGGCAACTACAGGTCCACAAACCCAGAAGTGCCAGATTGCTGACCTGGAGGGATGCAAAAACTAATTCAGCCTCACGGAAACAGAGCCCTTTTCTCCTTCTCCCTTACAGCTGGTACCAAAGAAAGCCTTTACATTTTTCCCTTAAGATGATTAATTTAAAACCGTTTCCATCCTCAAGATAAAAACATTTTGTCTCTAATTTAAAAAATCATTTCCTAGGGCTGGAAAGATAGCTCAGCAGACTAAGCTCCTGCTTAGGCAAGCTCAGGGACCAGGGTTCAATTCCCAGCACCACATGCCAGGCCAGCCGGCCCCAGGGCTTGCTGAGCCAGCCACTGAGACCAGGCATGGTGGTGTACACCTGTAATCCCAGCACCAGGGAGGCTGAAAACAGGAGGATCACTATCAGTCTGAGCTGCATAGTGAGACCCTCTACCAAATACATTAAAAAAAGACCTTTCCTAAGATTTACAATAATGCCCCGGGGGCGGGGCCGGCTGGGATCACAGACCACCACGCCCAGTCTCAGCATGCCGGGGGCAGGGCCGGCTGGGATCACAGGCCACCATGCCCAGGGGCAGGGCCAGCACGGCACAAACTGCTTCTGCCTGAGCAGGTGCTTTAATCCGCTGAGCTAGCTGGCCGGCCCAGATTGTTTTATTTTTAAAGAGATTTTTAAAAATAGTAAAAGAAAAAGTAGAAATGATATAGAATTTTACTAAACAAATAATAGGAATTCAACAATGGCTGTTATACTGCATAATGTTGTCTTCAAAT